CCCCGCCCGCCCGCCGGGGAGGCCGCGCCGCGGAGGTCGCCGCGCCTCTGAGGGAAGCGCCGGGCCCGGAGCGGCCTGTGGCGGCCGGGGCGTGGGGGGGGTGCTCAGGGCAAGGCGCCGCGCCTCGCCCCGCCGGCCTGACCTCGCCCGTGGGCTGAGGGACGTCGGTCATTGTGGGCTAGGCCACCACAAGCCACCAAAGGCCACCACGGGCCACCCAAACCTGGAGTGGCGCCTCCCGCAGCCAGGCTGCGGCCCTGTCGTGTCCCCTCCCCGGCCTGTGCGGTTCTGTGGGGCCGGACAGACCCACCCGCACTTGGACCCCATTTTCCGGGGGTTTAATCCCAAAAGATGTGCGCGGGGGCAGCTCTTGGCCGGTGGAGAAGGGGACTGTGCCCGCCGAGGCCAGAGGAGGTGAGGGAGGGAGGAAGGCAGTGACGGGATCCATCCCAGTCCATCCCGGAGAATCCCAGACCCGGCCTGTCTCCAGCAGGAACTGGGGGACACTCTTATTTTAGCTGAATAAACTCCACCGTTTCCCATTTAACACATCACAAAACATTTCCAGAAAGAAGACTTTATTTATTTATTTATAACTACGTTCATTTTGTAGTTGTATTTGGGACTGGGGTATTTATTTTCTTTCACCCTCGTTCATTTTGTAATTGTATTTGGGACTGGGATATTTATTTTCTTTCACCCTCGGTCAGTAACAAATTTTGGTTTAACATTTCCTGTACCAACATCATTTTCCAACAGGTCTTTTTCATCCCCAGAAGCGCCTTCTTGTCAGATAAAAGCCCTCCTTGCAACATGCAAGAAATTTAAGTACTACAGAGTTCAGCCTCAACACAAATAACTACTTAATACTTAGTCACAGAGCTACTTTCAGCAAATTCAAATATTTATTTAATTAAACAGATTCACATGCATTACGAATCTAAAAGAAGGAGCACTAATTTTAATGGTAACATTGCTTTTAAAAATGAATTCATAATACTGAAAAGTCACATAGAATTATAAATAGAGTCCTGGAAAGGACAATTTTCCTTTTAGAAATGGACATGAAAAGGTAATAAAAGAGAAATAACGTTGCTAAGAAGTAAAAGGTCAGCTTTTAAGCCAGCTTTACTGGAACTGAAGTAAAACCTCACCGATTCAAAAGGTTGCAGAAGAAACTTTCTGGAATTTGTGAGGAAATAAGACTCTCGAGCATCTTTAACCTTTTTTTTCCTAACAACAGCAGATGGAGTTTCTGTAATTGTCACAGTCAGTTTTGAGCAGACTAGGGATATTGAAGAGCTGTTGGGAAACAACGAGCTTTGCCCAGAGAGCAGCAGAAGGTGAGATTCCTGAGGTCTTGGGCTTTGAGGTCTCCATTCCCTGCCCTTAAAGCCAGCACCCACCATCCTCGAGTGTAATTATTTGTACCTGTCTCTCAACAAAAATCATTGTTCCTAAACCTCTGGCAAAACTGGGTCTAGTCCCACTCCTCCCTCATCTACTTCTGTCTTCAAAAAAAAAAGAGATAAAAAGGCTGGATGGAATTTTTCTGATGCTCCCACTGACCCCCACATACATCTTGTGCTTGATCTTCCCCCTTCCTCACATTTGGAAAGCTCCTGGTTCTGGTTAAACTGAATCAATAGGTCTTTGAGGAATGTCTTTTTTTTTCTTTTTTTTCTCAGGCACTTATAAAGAAGTCAGTTGATTGAAAAAATAAAACACGCTGTGGGCTGAGAAAGATTCCTTTCTTTAAAAAGAATAATACATAGATAAATTAAACCCCTGAACGCTTGCAAGGTATCTAGGGGATGAGCAGTCTTACCTACGGAAACTCATACTCTGAAGCCAAGAAATGGAGACAACTTCCAGAGACAATATCCAGAGACAGTGCAGGTCTCCTTCAGGTCTCTCGGGGTCCCACCAGCTCTTCTGATGTGAAGATGACAATCTTCTGATTGTCTTTTTCCTCAAGGGACGACGAGATCCCTGCTCCCACGGAGCTGATGTGACAGGATCCATTTAATGATTTAATCTCCTGGAACTTTCTCCCTGTGGGTGTTAATGCCAGAGGAAACTATTTAACCATTAAATAAACCTTAGACTCCTGGGTTAGTGATGACTAGAAAACTGGGAGGAACAGTGAGTTTCAACTCCATGTTACATTTTACATAACAAAAAATAATAATAGGTGTTTCAATTTCAGAGCCTTTTATAAGAAAAAGCACTTAAATGTCAGACATCTAAAGAACAGTAATCATTTTTGCTGTCAGTCCTCATCTAAACTTTAGAGAGAATAAATGCACTTGATTAAAAAAAAAAATCTTAGCCACTTTTCTTAAGTGATTACCACCTAAAATTTGGCTACATTCTGTCAGTCCCAGGAAAGAAAGCTTAAAACAGTTCCTCAGAATACACTAGTTGCTTTATGAGATTATAATTCTACCTTTTCAAGTACATTAAAAAAAATGTTCAAGCCATTCTTCACATGCATCGTGAGCCTATATTTATGTACTGAACATTTAGGTGTCGCTTATAGTCTTTTTAAACCTTGAACTGAGAAGTGATGCGTCTCTCACCTGCTAATCCTCAGCCCTAAGAAATATGCCTCTCCTCTCTTTGCAGGCACAACATTTTCTGTCGCTTTTTTGAGAATCTAGAGGTTAAGTGGAAATTAATATTACAGTCATCAGTCTATTTGCAGCTCTGAGGAGAAAGACCTAGGAGTCCTGGTGGACAACAGGATGTCCATGAGCCAGCAATGTGCCCTTGTGGCCAAGGCCAATGGCTTCCTGGGGGGCATCAGGAAGAGTGTGACCAGCAGGTTAAAGGAGGTCATCCTGCCCCTCTGCTCTGCCGAGGCCCCATTTGGAGCACTGGGACCAGTTCTGGGCTCCCCAGTTCCAGAAGGACAGGGAACTGCTGGAGAGGGGACAGCAGAGGGCTACAGAGATGATGAGGGGCCTGGAGCATCTCTCTTATGAGGAGAGGCTGAGGGACTTGGGGCTTTATAGTCTGGAGATGAGGAGGGATCTGATCAATGCTTATAAATACTTAAAGGTGGGTGTCAAGAGGATGGGGCCAGTCTTTTTTAGTGGTGCCCAGGGACAGGACAAGAGGTCACAGGCACAAACTTGAACATAAGAAGTTCCATCTAAACATGAGGAGGAAGTTCTGCACTTTGAGGGTGGCAGAGCCCTGGAAGAGGCTGCTCAGAGAGGTGGTGGAGTCTCCTTCTCTGGAGAGATTCCAAACCCACCTGGACAAGTTCCTGTGGGACCTGCTCTGGGTGGACCTGCTTTGGCAGGGGGTTGGACTAGATGATCTCCAGAGGTCCCTTCCAACCCCATGTGATTCTGCGATTTCCCACAAACTGTGCTGCAGAACTCGTTCCAAACCTAGGAGAAACCTGGTCAGCAGGTTCAGGCCGTGAAGACCTGGCTGAAAAAGACTTTTTACTGTAAAGAGTGCAGAGAAAGGTGAAAATGGGAAAAACCATTGAAAAGTGACCTGGAACTGCAAAACAATGGCCCAAACTGGTACTTCAGGATGATGAAAGGACCTCAGGTTAGGCTGGATTTTGACTGTAAGTCATTGTTGCAATTACTGTATATGAAATAAAGTAATTGTATGGCTGCATAACAACTGACTGAAGTGTCAAAATTGAAATGACCTCATTTTCTAGGCTGTTATTCTGAAATATTTTCCTCATGAAAATGATTTATGAATGACTTATGTGTCCCTCATCAGCAAATCTTTATTCACACACGCAACACCTGCTTATCATGTTTTTCTGCTTTTTCCTACTGTGTTTTCCTCCCAAATCATAAAAAGTCAATGGACTCTTACTGGCACTAACAGCTGCTGGGTGCGTAATGAAAATGCCTGAACTAATAGGAACCCATGATATAAAAAATTATGAGTAAGATCTAAGAGCTCAATCTGGTACCTGAGAATTCAGCATAAAATAAAAGAATCCTAGAAATGGAAAATATATCTCTCATTCTTTTTGCATGGAGCCAGTGAGACGTTATGCTAAGTCAATTTTCAGAGGTGCTGAGCCCAGAGGAGAGAATTCCTTTCCAGATCAGGAAGTTTTAGCGTTAGAGAAAATGGTAAAGAAAACGACGGTAAAGCATTTAATTAATTTGTGTCGGGGTTGGTGGCACTGAGCCGGCTGATTGACTGCCATCTCGACCAGTCACATTTTCTCCTGTCGGCTCTTTTCCCTCTTTTCCTACAAACGGATTATTCTGAGGGAATATGCACGATGATGTCCCCGGGGCTCTGGATAGGGAGGCGCTGAGGGGAGCGGCGGCAGGCGGGCCCGGCGGGCTGAGGGGAGCCGAGCCGCGGGAAGAGCTCCCCCTCACGGGCTGTGGGCCGTTACCTGCCGTCTCCGTGCAGCCCCCGGGCAGCTGTGAGAGCAGCTCCCCGTCCCACGCCCTGCCCCGGCCGGCAGCCGGGCCGCGCCTCAGGCCGGCGGGCGGGGCCGGTGCTTCGCCCCCCCCCC